CATCAACACTTGTTGCTGCTGTTTAATGGTCCCACTTTATTAACGAAATTGTAAGCAGCTAGTCTTTTATACCAGTATGCCTCAGTCTGAATGGTCGGTACGTTCTCACCTCTGACAATATGAAGCTGCTGAAACATCTCCTCTCTGTAGGACAGCTCCCTTTTCATCTGATCATGGAAATTATCTGGGGAGCAATTAGAATAGCTTAGTCATCTTTAGTGTAGCCTATAAACTAGCCTACTCGGCTATTCTTTTAACATGTCATCCTACCGGGGCAAAATGGAATCTAGCTTCCTAAATTACCATTGCAGGTGCAACAAATAGCCATATGCGTTTGATAGAAACATAAATGACAATCGAACCATGCAATACAAAACTAGCATGCACTAATCCCGCGTTCACATACTACTCGGAACAAGGAAACCCAGAAATGTCCGACTTGCTAACTGGTTGAACACGGCACGTATATAACTACAACCAGTTAGCAAGTCGACATTTCAGAGTTTCCTAGATCCGACTAGCACGTGAACACGGCATTGTCAAATAAAACGTAGTGCAAAACCTAATCGACTTGTTTTTGTTCAGCGTTCACGATGCTGATCATGACAAGCATGACATGAAGAGAAACACTCATAAAAAAATATACTCTAACCCGTTGGAATCAAAAACTATTAAACTGTGAAATTTGATCAGATGAACAATAGCTTAGTTTCCATGAACTTGTCCAGTGTTTTTTATTTGTTATTTTTTTCAGGTGTTCTAATATTTGCCACATTCTAATAATGGTCATGTGTCTACCGTATCGCCACGGATCTGGAGCCCAGGCACGGTGGGCTGCCTAGGCACGGTGGGCTGCCTAGGCACGGTGGGCTGCCCAGGCACGGTGGGCTGCCCAGGCACGGTGGGCTGCCCAGGCACGGTGGGCTGCCTAGGCACGGTGGGCTGCCCAGGCACGGTGGGCTGCCTAGGCACGGTGGGCTGCCCAGGCACGGTGGGCTGCCCAGGCACGGTGGGCTGCCCAGGCACGGTGGGCTGCCCAGGCACGGTGGGCTGCCCAGGCACGGTGGGCTGCCTAGGCACGGTGGGCTGCCCAGGCACGGTGGGCTGCCTAGGCACGGTGGGCTGCCCAGGCACGGTGGGCTGCCCAGGCACGGTGGGCTGCCCAGGCACGGTGGGCTGCCTAGGCTAGTCGATGCCATGGTGACGCTGCCACTCCTGTAGATCTGAAATAATTGGATGGTGAAACTTGCCAGCCAACCAGAAAAGCAAGGCGAAGCAATTCTGGCATTCTTGAAACTCAGGATAATCCCTGTCCTGCAAAGAAACATTATTTTTATAACTTGAAAAAAAAAGAATATTTGCAAGCAGTAAACTAGGCATTTACAATGAAATGTGGAGCGGAGCTTATAGTTACGTGATGACATCACGTGCCCCGCGTACCTTCAGAAGTATTCCGCAATCATCATTTATCCTAAAAACACCGTTTCCATCATCATTTATCCTAAAAACACCGTTTCCATCATCATTTATCCTAAAAACACCGTTTCCATCATCATTTATCCTAAAAACACCGTTTCCATCATCATTTATCCTAAAAACAACCGTTTCCATCATCATTTATCCTAAAAACACCGTTTCCATCATCATTTATCCTAAAAACACCGTTTCCATCATCATTTATCCTAAAAACACCGTTTCCATCATCATTTATCCTAAAAACACCGTTTCCATCATCATTTATCCTAAAAACACCGTTTCCATCATCATTTGTCGCAGAAAAGTTAGTTCGACAAAAGAGAAATACACCGTCGAACAGATAAAAATGTTGTTGATCTTTAGAAAATGTCTCCTATATCTGCCGTTTCCATTACACGTGTCACAATGATATATTTTTTTGCGACATTGCTTTTGTCCAGCCAGCCAGCCAGCCAGCGTGGAATAATCCTGGGTCAATGGAAACCTGCCTACTGAATTATACCTTTTAAATGTTGGAATTCTCGTTCCAGTTTCTTCCTTAGCTCCACGAGTTGTTTCTGCAATTCGTCTGTAGAAAAGGAACGAACAAATGTGTTAAAAATAGAAAATCAATACGGGTTGAAAATTGCTTCGGGGTTTAGGCTAAACGGTATAGGCTGAATGGTGTCGGTTAAATTGTATAGGCTCATTTATGTTTAACGATTCATGTTAAGCGATTGGTAAAAGGCCTGGGGTGAAAGCTGTTCTATTTCTTTTCTATTCTGTAGGGATCATTTAGGGATCATTCCAATTATTAAATAAAGGATATAATAAACATTAACATAGTTAAACAAAATAGACCAACATGTATTATTAATAACAATATTAATACAAATTATAAATGTTATTTAATGGTCTTACATTTTGCCAGTTTTTCTATGTCTGTCTGAGTTTGTGTGAGACTCTGCTAACATTGTGCGTCGCTTCCTCGTCTGAATATATACAGAGACAACATTTATAACATTACAAAATATTTAAAAAAAAATTGGCTATAAAATAGAGGCTTAAATATTTGTATATCAAAAGTTCTGACAGAAAATGTCAAATACCCTATTAGCGACCGACAAGTGTAGCACTTGAACTAACCCTCGTTCAGTTCTTCTCTCGGGCTCTCCTCACTGTTTTGGCCGTTATAAGACTTGGTTTCAACCTCTTCCACTGTCGAAGAAGGCTCCTCTCTACTGGCACTGTCATCTGAATAAACAACAAATAAGTCTCGTTCCTTTTCACAAAATGTATTTTATTATAAAAATGTTAACAGAACGACATCCAACCTTTCGATTCCACATTGTCTGTCTGGTAATTCGTTGCTGAACCAAAAGCATATGGACTTCTCCTTTGTTGCATATCACTCCTGTCCGGTGAATACACCTAGATAAATCGGACAGGATACTGAGGATAGTTGGTGAATTGCATTCAATAATACTCTCTGACATTGGGACAAATTCGACTATTGGATAGTGTCTTTGAACGGTCTTTGATTATCTGCTATTCACACAGACAAAACAAACACGTGCATAAAATAAAAGATGAGCCCAATGTGTGGGTAAAAGCAAGAGGATGATGACTTTTTAATTAATCAATGAATTAATAACAACTAAAAAGTATATTCCTTAGTATGTAAATGGTCATTTCATATAATGAGCAGGCCCATATCAATCACTCACTTCAACAAAAGACGTGGTCTTATTGCTGTCCGGCAGCTGTTTGCCCTGTCTATCTCTATTTGAAGACAGCACCACGTGTAGTGGTAGGTTCATTCTCTGTGAGTCGACCACAGCGGCCTGCTCCGGCTCTGGGACGGATTCCAGGCCGTTTGGTGAACCTGCGCCGCCCGTCAGGTTTAGAAGAGGGATAGGGGGGCTCCTGCAGTCCTCAATGGAGTGCGGAAGTGACTCCTCATCCTCCTGTGATTTATTGGTCTCCACGTCCACATCTGGCTCGCCAACGCTGTCCACGCTGCATGGGGACAAGGACCTGTAGCTCGAGCTCTCGCTCAGGAAATCAGGTGACAGATACCCAGCTCGAGTCCCGTTGTACTTCCCCCGGTTACAGTAAAGTTTGGCTATACTCTCAGCGTCTTTGATGACGGGTCTGAATGCGGAGACATAGCTAACCTTCTCGGGTAGAAGGGGCATTATACCGTCCATTGACCTCGCCTCATCCCCGGACTTGTTGTCCTCATTCCGGGTGGACTGAGTGCTGGAGCAACGCTCACTGTCCACCAGGCTGTTCTTCGGTGTGTTATTATTTCTGTCACCCTGCTCGGATGCGTCCAGCTCACTCTGTCTGGCGCACAGGACCGCCGAGGGCTGCTTGGGCTGGGCCTGGCGCTGTGGCTGGAGGTGGGGGTGGGGGTAGGACGGCATGGGGAGGCCGTCTGCAGTTGGCCAGAACATGGGGAAAGAGTGGTAGGCGCTGTCCTTGGTGCGAGGCCAGGAGAAGACCCCAGAGAGGTGGGCTTTATTTGGCTCCCCCATCACACCACCGTCACCCTTCTTCTGACACAACCCGAAGGCCGGAACCGGAAACCCGTAGGGGTGTGGGAAGAGAGGTGGAGGGATCTTCACGTTCTGCAGCATCCCGAAGCTTTTGCTGGGCACCGGGATAACGGGATAGCTGCGCGTGATGCTCGTCACACTCCCCATGCCTCCCCGGTTGTCCTCGCAGCGGACGATTTTAGGGGGGGTCTCCGGTGAGTCTCTCCGGGGCAGGTTGAAAGGTTCTTGGTGAGGTTTTAACGGAGAGGAACGTTCGGACCCGTGGCTGTGCATGGGCAGCGTCCTCTTCCGGTTGCCCCCGTTGAACATGGCTTTGACGTCCTCCCACGCATGAGCTACGTCATCCGGTGAGCCCTTGTCAGTCAGTTGGAGGTGTCTCCTCCAGGAGTTAAAGTTAGCAGCGTCTGGCTGGGTATACTTGGACTCTGATGTACGGTGAGAGTGGAATATGAACTTATTTGGTGAAAAATACATATTGCAGTAGAAACACTTGATGCACTTGGCTCGGGAGCTGTTGTACCTGGCTGGTATAAAGTTACCACGGCTCCCCCACGTGCACTCGTGGGAAACATCAAACGCGAAATTCTCCGGTAGTCTTGGAGGGTTGTGGGCTCCAAGAAACGATTTACAAAGCCTCTCGGCTTCGCGCTTTGTGATCATCCCACAGCGCCTCGAGGAGATGGGCATGGCGCCCGCGCGCCTCAGTATCTCCAGCTGGACCGGGGTGCACTGCACGCAGGTGATGCCCAGAGCCACGCGCCGGTTGTGGATCTCGTTGTAGCTGTAGTTCTTCAGCAGGGTGTTGGAGATCTGCGCCAGGCACAGTCTCTCCTGGCCATCTAGCACCAGGCAGACTATGGGTATTCCATACAGGGCGGTCTCGCTGACCTGGTTGGGTTTCAGGTTGGGGTTGAATGTTGGGAGGTCCTGTTTGGAGCTCGGTGGAGATCGTCCCGCCGGTAGCCGAGTAAGATTAAACTCCATTACTGGAAACCTGCAGAAGAAAAACTAAACAATTATTATCATGATAATCGTTTCCCCTTTTTTTAACCAATGAAAGCTAATTTATAATGATAATTTAAAACAATAATTATCCTCTTTCCAGCTTCAAAAAGATAAACAGCATTGTTATAACATTGATTAGCATACAACAACAGCAAATAATAAGACTTATAACGACACTAGACCTAATAATAATAATGATCAAAAAGACCTACTAATAATAAATAGGTTTAGTAAAAAATGCTTATATACTTAAATGCAATAGGCTAAATAATAACAATTTCACGTGAAAGGTTGAAACCCAACCAGGTCAGCGAGACCGCCCTACCCATAGTCTAGTGGTTTCTCAGGAAAACATTTTAACTTGGATATTGCTCTATTAGCTGCCTGCACCAGTCATTAAACCGGATGAGAGCTGACCTTAGCAGGGCCCAGAGATTAGGAATATACCTTAGCAGGGCCCAGAGATGAGGAAAATAGTTTAGCAGGGCCAGCTAAGAGGCTAACACGGTACAGAGCAGAAGGAGAATCCACATTTAGCGGTGCCAAGCAGCTTAGCCAAGAGGATAGAACCTGTAAGCAGCTTTCTTTGTAATTACCAAGGTTCAGCTTTATACATCTTTGAACGTGTTAAGAAAAACAGTCACTGAAAGATATAATTAAGATTTTTCAAGAAAATATTCGTTTATTTTTCGATGAAGTGACATGTAAGATTCACTTTTAATTCCGCATGAAATATATAATGCAATTGATACTATCTCATTTTACAAAAGGCTATACACTATACGCCATCAATGAGCATGCAGATTAATATTGCTGATTGCGTCAATAGATTGTTGCATGAAATTAAATGTATGGTTCTGAATGTACCCCGATGCATTAAGAACGTATGGCTTTGAATGTACCCTAATGCATTAGGAAATAATGTAATTTCAATGACACGACAAGGTAAAACGGATCAAACACGTTGATCATTTCTTAAAGCGAAGCTTACCTTTTTGGACAGTGGAAAACAAACGCTCCTTCGTTGTGCCAGCAACAACAAACCAGCTATACACTGTTGTAGCCTAATTACACAAAGAACAGCATTCACTCGGTATATTCCCGTTGTTTGAGCAAAATAAGATCAACATTGAATTCTACTGGAAGGTTTCTCCAATAATTATGTACCTGCCTCAGACTGCACTCACTCGAGCCCGACTCGCTCTGTGTGTGCGTGCGGTGTGCGGTGTGCGGTGCGGTGCGTAAAGAGAGTGTCCACGAGGTAGAGCGGATTAGCTCCCTCCATCTAAAGACATTCCCCGCGACACGGATCAAGTGACAGCTGAAATAATGGCAAGGCACTCCCACTTAGTGCCAGCGTCTTTACATTAACTGTTTACCTTCGGGATCAAAACTACCAGTGCTGTTATAGGCCTCTCCTTTCCCATAACATGTCAGGAGAGAGCGACATTAAATATATATATTTATATATATATATACAGGGTTTGAACATTGATAATAATTGACTTGATGGCTTCCAACATTTATTTCAAGGTTAGTGGTACCTATGATTGATTGTCTCATATCCCCTAGCTCCACATATGATATTTGTTAACAGGAGGCAACTGTCTAATATTTAAGCAACAGTCTATGGAAAGTGGATGTGTAAACTAATCTGGAACCTTTCTTTCTGAAATTAGCCGCCGAAATTGTCGCAACCCCTATTACCAGCCTGTTCAACCTCTCTTTCGTATCGTCTGAGATCCCCAGAGATTGGAAAGCTGCCGCTGTCATCCCCCTCTTCAAAGGGGGTGACACTCTAGATCCAAACTGTTACAGACATGTATCCATCCTACCCTGCCTTTCAAAAGTATTTGAAAGCCAAGTTAACAAACAGATCACCGACCATTTCGAATCCCACCTTACCTTCTCCGCTATGCAATCTGGTTTCCGAGCTGGTCATGGGTGCACCTCAGCCACGCTCAAGGTCCTAAACGATATTATAACCGCGATCGATAATAGACAGTACTGTGCAGCCGTTTTCATTGACCTGGCCAAGGCTTTCGACTCTGTCAACCACCGCATTCTTATTGGCAGACTAAATAGCCTTGGTTTCTCAACTGACTGCCTCGCCTGGTTCACCAACTACTTCTCAGATAGAGTTCAATGTGTCAAATCGGAGGGCCTGTTGTCTGGACCTCTGGCAGTCTCTATGGGGGTGCCATATGGTTCAATTCTCGGGCCGACTCTATTCTCTGTGTCTATCAATGATGTCGTTCTTGCTGCTGGTGATTCTCAGATCCACCTCTACCAGACGACACCATTTTGTATACATCTGGCCCTTCATTGGACACTGTGTTAACAAACCTCCAAACGAGCTTCAATGCCATACAACAATCCTTCAGTAGCCTCCAACTGCTCTTAAACACTAGTAAAACTAAACGCATGCTCTTCAACCGAACGCTGCTTGCACCCGCCCGCCCGACTAGAATCAATACTCTCGACGGGTCTGACCTAGAGTATGTGGACAACTACAAATACCTAGGTGTCTGGTTAGACTGTAAACTCTCCTTCCAGACTCACATTAAGCATCTCCAATCCAAAGTTAAATCTAGAATCGGCTACCTATTTTGCAACAAAGCCTCCTTCACTCATGCTGCCAAACATGCCCTCGTAAAACTGACTATCCTACCGATCCTTGACTTCGACGATGTCATTTACAAAATAGCCTCCAACACTCTACTCAGCAAATTGGATGTAGTCTATCACAGTGCCATCCGTTTTGTCTCCAAAGCCCCATATAATACCCACCACTGTGACCTGTACGCTCTTGTTGGCTGGTCCTCACTACATATTCGTCGCCAAACCCACTGGCTCCAGGTCATCTATAAATCACTGCTAGGCAAATCCCCGCCTTATCTTAGCTCATTGGTCACCATAGCAGCACCCACCCCTAGTCTGCGCTCCAGCAGGTATATCTCACTGGTCATCCCCAAAGCCAACACCTCCTTTGGCCGCCATTCCTTCCAGTTCTCTGCTGCCAATGACTGGAACTAATTGCAAAAATCTCTGAAGCTGGAGACTCTTATCTCCCTCACTAACTTTAAGCATCAGTTGTCAGAGCAGCTTACCGATCACTGCACCTGTACACAGCCCATCTGTAATTAGCCCACCCAACTACCTCATCCCTATATTGTTATTTATTTTGCTCATTTGCACCCCAGTATCTTTATTTGCACATCATCTCTTGCACATCTATCATTCCAGTGTTAATACTAAATTGTAATTATTTTGCACTATGGCCTATTTATTGCCTTACCTCCATAACTTACTACATTTGCACACACTGTATATAGATTTTCTACTGTGTTATTGACTTTATGTTTTTTACCCCATATGTAACTCTGTGTTGTTTTTATCGCACTGCTTTGCTTTATCTTGGCCAGGTCGCAGTTGTAAATGAGAACTTGTTCTCAACTGGCTTACCTGGTTAAATAAAGGTAAAATAAAAATAAATAAATAAAAGAATGACTGTCCTTTTAATTATTTAAAACTCTTTATGCTGTCTCGTGATGAGAAATTGAAAGGCAATATAAATAAATAATCATATAAAATGTGAATTTAAAAGGTATTTATTATCATTATCAAAAGGAAGAAATAAACTAAACTAAAAAGCTAAGCAGCTCTTGAAATAATTGATATCGAAAACAAATTAGTTCATGAATAAGACCTCTGCCATTTAATCTAAATATTCTATTCCAAATGTAGATTTTCTCAAATAGGCCTATTCACATTCATTTCAATTGTACATAGGCCTACAGACAGAGTCTACGTTTAGATTATTCATATATTTTATTTATACATTATCAACGGTCTCTGACGTGCTACGAGGTGTTCTAACCAGTAATTAATCAGAGTGTTTTCCTGAAAGTGTCCTAAACGTTTTACCCAATCAGGGGGTGATAGTGACGACAACACAACCCGCCTCGAGCTGTTGCTGCAGCTAAGCGATGCATCAATTTACCTAAATAAAACATGCATTGTTGTTGAAATGATATGTGTACTGGGATTTGGCATGTGGTAAAGGAGACTAGCAGCGAAGACACGTTGATATTGAAAGATGATTCAGATGATGGGGCACGGGGTACAGGCCTTCATCACATGTTGAGTTCCCACGGACTCTTTCTCTCTTCAGCTCAGCAGCCGCAGCCTCCAGCCTCGGTTTGACAACGACCGGCTGTTTTAAATGTCGTTCAATCATTAGGCAGCTATCAAATCGCCTTTCACGCATGTTATAAGCAACATATAACACATTTCCCCCCATAACGTTAAAAGATTTACAGACAAATGTAATACAAATTGGTTAAAAATGCATCTTGCTTTTGGTAATTTGGGAAACTATAGGCCTATACCCAAAATCCATTGTAGCCTAGACGTTTTCATGTCGTTTGACTTGACCAAAGCAGTCAGTGAGCGCATGTCTGTTACTGTTTTGGCCCTGCCATTTAAAGCTGGCAAGCGCGCTGAATTTATCCCGGGTCCGCTGTAATATTGACGCAGGTGTGTAACCAGATAGGTCCCGGCGCACGGTCCCGGCGCACCCACCCGGTCCATATTGACTTTCACGAGCATGATACTTTCCTCCTCCCCTCCTATAATAATTACAATTTTGTTCTGTAATTATTCATTGCTCTACATTATTAGCAAGGTGGATGCCACACTGTCAGCCATTATCTTGTAGGACCAGGAGGAACTTCGTGTTTAAGTTTAGCTTTAGTTTAGCACAGCTACATGTACTGAAACAGCACGTTTTGACATTTTAATCAGGGTAATCTCTTTTTGTTTTGTTTGTTTCGAAGTTATATGTCTGATATTAACTTGGTCCATATGTAGCCTAGAGAACAAACTGCACCGGAATACCTGGATTGTTTGAACCAAGTAAGCTTTTACATTTGACATCGAAAAAGTGTGAATCAATAGTCTTAATGATGGGGCGGCAG